GATTCTTGAAATGAATGACTTGATATTCCTAAAAGGAATAATATTGATTCTTGAACCTACTGTCCCCACCCTTGAGGACGCTCTTGGGGGAGCTGGGCCCTAGGACCATTTCGGCAAGACGATCGGGCAGTATTGGGCTGACGATGACTGGTCTCCCGAATGGTACCTCCTGATGGTTCGGACTCACGTTCGTTTGGAGTTAAACGTTCCTGAGCCGGATCGGCACGTTCCGGTCGTGCCTCTTGCTTGTTTCCGACCGAGTGGCCACTCGGGACGGAGTGGAGGGATAAGGATGTGATATGATTTTTCTTGTTGGGAGTTACAAGGCTGGAGACCCCACCAAATATTGAACTCAAGCCGTACATGTTACACTCTTGTACATGTTACACTCTTGTACATGTTACACTTCTGTTAATGAAATTCTTGTTAATGAAATTCTTGTAAAGTCTCTCGTTATATGCTCTGTTCTGTTGATTCTCATCATACTCATGGATCATATGTTTTTCACTAAGTCATTCGGACTTATTCGTTTCTCCTTTCTGATATTAATGCGCAGGTAAAAGAAAGACTTAGACCTAAATTTTCATACTAAGAGTTAAAGCTCATGTATGCCTCCGATTAGTCTCGTCGAGAGGTATCTCTATTTATGTTCCGTATAGGAATCCTTTGATCGAGAATTTTGTAATAGAGTAAGTGGTGTCGAAGTCGACTTGTAATAGAATCCCCTTTTGTAAATACGATGGTATAAATATTGGGGTTTAACATTTTGATCATCGAAAATTTGAGGATCATATTTGGGGTCATTGAATGTACTGCTTGTTGAGTGGTGTTCCGCCACGAGGTGTCTGCTACTCGGGGCGGGGCGCTACAGGTGGTATCAGAGCTTTGGGTTGGCTTTGGGTTGGATGCTCGGGCGGTGATGGAAAGGGATCTTTGAGAATTGTAGAGCTATGAATTGAATCTTGAGAAATTGAGAAGATTGGTAGTAATCGAGTATTAAAGGCATTGAGATAATTCTTTAGCGTCTATTACTGATATAGATAGTGAGGAATACCCCGTAGAAATATCTATCATACACAACCTGAGACGCAGTTTGAGATTCTTGGTTCTTTTGGTTACTTCAACTGGCTTCCAATTTTCCCAATTTTCCGATGTTTATCACGAGTGAGGTTTCTAGTCTCACTTGAATTTGGTAACACCTTTTCTTGTAGACGTCCCATTCCCTTTTACTTCATAACTTGACTTCCTTATCCAAACCATATTATCTCATTTTGAGTATTGATTTATGGTGAACCAAATATCCGGGAGTCCTTTTTCTTTTCACTCCTTATCATTCCAATGAATTCGATTTTGATTCGTTAGCCTATATTGTCTAATTTCATTTGTTGATCGTAATCGATTTTTCATATCTCATTTTAACACCTCATAGTCTTGGTTACCAATTTTATGAGGTTTCGTACCCTTTCAAATTCCGTATGGTTTGGATTATCCCTTGTTTTGAAGCCCTTACCTTATTGTGCTACCATCTCCATCTTCTTTCCTTTTTAAATATTCTATGGTTTTGGCTTATCTACTTGCCGAGACTTCTTATCGAGTTCACTCCATCTTTAGTGTTCAATTATTTTGAATACCATATGATTTTGGTCATGTTCTTGTGAGGTTCCTTATAATTTTTTATTTTTTTTTCACTACCATCTGCTTTTGATAATTGTGAGGTGTTCTATCTCTTTGAACACTCTAGTTTCGGCTAATCTATTTGTCAAGACTTTTTATTTCCTTGAATATTTCTTTACTTATTCAATATATACTACTCCATTTTCAATGTTCCAATTTTCTTGAATATCTCGTGACTTTGGTCACGTACATTTGAGGTCCCTATTCTCGTTTGATTTGGTTATACCATTTGTTATGATTCTGATATCGGATCAATCTTTCTACCTATTTTTGAGGTTCTTGTTCTTTTGGCCTCAAAATTCGATTCTTGTACATGAATTGTTCCATTGTTATTATTGATCACAATGGAATTCCCATATCTCATTTCAAAACTCCTTATCTCATTTCAATACTTCGGCATCTCGGTTACCTATTTTTTCAGGTTTATGATTCTTTGAATACAATATTGCTAAACTATCTTACTTCCTTCCCACTATTAAATCACGAGTGAGGTATTTGATCTCGTTTGAATGCCTCGATATCCTTGTTCCGTTCTTTTTTGAGATTCCTCATCTCATTTAATACTTCTCGATTTGGATATCCTATTATGTGAGGTTTCTTATCCCTTTGAAACCTTGTGATTCGACTTCTTTATGTCGCTTCTATTTGTTCCCTCTCACTCATAGGTCATGATTATTGATAATTCAGGGTAAAAGTATGGACCTTGTATGGGTAATGTCGTGTCATATGACTACGGTTGTATGCATCTATTGTTATATCATCTTATGGATTCGACCTGGAATAGTTTCGACGATTACCTTACTGAACGGAAAAAAGAAAAAAGAAAAAAAGGTTATGTAGTTATCACGACTTAGAAATTCTATAGATTTTGTTGACTCTTAAGGTATCTTGAGCGCTTTGAATTCTTGATTCTAATCGTCAGGGTACAGGGAGCTAAGTGCTATGTAGGGCAAAGTGCTATACAACGGGAGTCACCTCTTAATCTTGCATGAGCCACCTCTCGAGTCCCTAGTATTCGATAAGTCAGCCATATCTTGACATTGGATTATCATCTTTTGCAATTCTATTTGGTTAATATCAAGAGCTAAGTGCTATGTGGAGAAGGTATTTAAAGTACAACACCTATGTCAATAACACTATAGAAGATTGCACTTCTCTTTGTAAGATGTGAACGAACAACTACCAGAATTCGTCCTTGATGATCAACTTGCTATAAATAAGTTTTGCCCATCATGTAGTTTGGTTGAAGTAATTCACCATCAGCATTAATAGACACAATGTATATAATGTTTCGGATGTGATTAGAGCGTGCTTAGTGTCGAAGAATGACATTAGACTAGTTGACCTATGTTGAAATAGTGGTGAATTGAATGAATTAAGGCTACTCAATTGTCGGATATTCTGAGTCATGACTTCTCTACGATAAGTATTTATTAGGCATGCGGTTGCGAAACCACGGGAAGATTGTATCAACCGTTGCCATTTTCGATTACTCTTGATTTTAGATGTAAAGCTCTCTTCCATCAACCGTTGCCTGGTCGATCTACTATTTGAAAACATTTTCTTTGCGAACGCCATCTATAATCAAGTTCTTCTAGTGTCCAATGTTGATACCATAAGTAAATCACCATAAGTAAATCAGGCTTCGCCGTCCTCTTTGATTATAATTATGGTGCATTCAATTCCACTTTATGTAGACCAATGAGAAGAGAATTTTTGTGGACCGGGAAAGTAGTTGCCTCTTTGTCTGCTGAAGATAATTTAGATCCGAAATCTATATCTTGTAGCTAACTCACATTATCTTGATATAGATTATAAGTCATCTCGTTTTTTTTAAAGCAACTATTTGTAATATGGGACAAGATTTCCGTTCGGTACGAGAAACGTTCGCAAATTAACTTATCGTTTGAGCGGGTGACTGAACACATTGAGGACGTACAACGTGAATTATCGTGATGACTTAGGACAGCTATCAAGCAAGCGACAATACAAACAGTTTCGCAGTAGTTCGTGGAATGAAGTATCAATCGAGCTTGTGTTTCAAGACTAGATGAAAGACGAACAACTAACGACGGCAAACGTTAGGGCTTGGAGAGTGATACCAGATGCTATCGGTAAAGTTCGACTTATCAAATAAAGATCAAAGCCTACGCAAGATCGTCAAAAGAGTTATACATATGTGGAGCTAGATATATAATTCTAATTACCGCAAAAGTTCGAACGAAACGGATGAGAAGAAACACGTTATCTTGAAGAATGTGACACGGATAACTAGGGAGAGATTTAAAGATTCGAACGATATCAGACGCTTATTAATCCCTTTCATTCCTCTCATCAGACCATTTGTAGCACTCCTAGCTACAACCCTAACTAGATTGTTTCTTACAGGTTGATGTACCTCACAAGTCTCATTAATTAGTTGATGAACCGTATCTTGGCCTTCAACTTCTAGAACATTATAAATATTTAGCATCTTGCTCAACGGTAAGGCTATATCGAGTATGAGACCAATGAACTGTACGGTATTGCTAATGGAGCTGCGGACATTAAGGTTCCACAAGCAGTATTTCCTAGTACTACCTCAGATTTGAATTGAATAAGTAATTTCGAATTCATTACGATGGTAGTTCGACTCGTTACTTAAGTCAGTACCAAGTCTGGAACCTATAGATCGTTAAGGAAACAATTTATGATATGTTTTAGGTATACCGGCTAAGCTAACACCATTTTGATCGATTTCGAATGTTACTCCTTGAAGTGACATGGCTTGAAGATAAATTATCATATGAAAAAAAAAAATCGGTTCTTATTGTCGGCACCAACCTTCTATACTTGCTGGAGACTATACGCGCAAGCGATATCTATCATGATAATGAATTCTTCAATCACAAGATTTGAAAGTGTTATGGAGAAACCACCACGTTGAAGAAGCGACCGATGAGCACGAAAAGAATTTTAGGAAATTGTATTTCCATGTTCGAATTATAGTTGAGAATCTGGGGACCAGATTCTTTTAAGGAGGGAAGAGTGTAACACCCCGTAAATATGTAAGTTGTTTAAGTCTGGGGATAATTGAATTTATTTAGTTGATATGTTTCGATATGGAATTATAATATATCCCGAATTTGATGGGAAGTGTAGAATTGTAATTATCTAAAGTTATGGCATCTATTGGTAATTAAGAAAACAATTTGACCTTATAGCCAATTTTCATAATTTATAATGAGATATGGATTGACGTGTGCATCATCAATTGCAGCCACGTTTCTTCATTCTCCCCAACTCCTCTATCTCCCTCACCGTCTCTCTCTTTCTCTCTATCTTCTTCTTCTCTCACCTTCTCACCGTTTCTCTCTCTCTCTCTCTCTCTTCTATATTGATTCTTGGCTGAAATCCCCAATTCATATTATCAGCATAATCGGGGCTGCGTGGATGCCTTAGCAAAGGGTATTAATGATCAGCTCATATCATTAGAAATATTGGGAAGTCAGATTTATAGTGGTGGTGGTCTCCAGCAGCAGTCGCCGGCGGTGGTGGCTGGAATCCGACAAAGAAGACGAGCTGTCCAGAATTCAAATTTCAGAGTTTTGGCTTTTCAGTAAATCAATTAAACGGAGGTCTTAAAGATGGAGTATCGATGATCCGAAGGTACCGTTCGAAACCTTAATAAGTTGGATTTCCAGTGGTGGTGGTTCTTGATTGTTTATACCGGCGGTGGTCACCGGAATTGGCTAAAACTTCAGCTCGCTCGTTGGAACGAGGGAAAGCAAAATCTGCTGCCACGCTTGTTTTCGGAGCCGAAATCGAAGTGTTTCGAATGCGAATTTCGAATCAGTTCCTTCAGGAAACTCGTAGAGGACATCGTAAACTATAAGTAAGTGTTCAGTTGTATCGAATTAGAGTATTTAATATACGTGTTTTAGAGGTCGGAATCCGGTGACAGTAATCTGCCGGAAACAGGGCAGTTTTGAGTATCTTCTTGCGGGACTGTTTTTGATATGTTGGGATCATAATTTGGGCTCTGTGCCTTCATGAAACTTGTAGATTAAGTTGTAAGGTTTCATTTGATGTATTATTTAGGCAATTTGGATAACTTTACAAATAGTTATGAATTTTACAAAACTGTACCAGAAAACAGAATTTATCCGAAATTCTGGCAGTTTTCTGTAGTCATCTTTTGGGGCTGTTTTGAATATGTTGGGATCATCATTTGTGATCAAAGCCTTCTGTGAACTCGTAGGATTTTCTGTTAGCTTTCATTTGACGTATCATGTGATCAATTTGGATTAGCATGCTAATTGTTATGATTTTTCAAACAAACTGTGCCAACAACAAATTTTCCAAAAAAAAAACCTGGCAGTTTCATGTACTCATCTTCCGAGGCTGTTATTACTGTGTTAGGTCGATAATTTGGGCTCAGAGTCTTCAGTAAACCTGTAGACACTGATGTTAGCTTTAATTCGATATATCGTTTAGGTTATTCGGAAAAGTAAGGTGATCGTAACGATTGTTCGAATAAGCTGTGGCAGCAAGACATTCGTAACAAATGTTTCAAGAAATTGACTATGTGATATAGTAGAATAATACGATTATATTAGCATTTGGAATCTTGTTAAGTGATGAATATGTTTATAGGTGTCGAGCGTACTAAAGCTCTCACTCAAGGTTTAAGCTTAAAGATGCTTCTATAGCACTTCTATAACACTAGCGTTGGACTCCAGGTGAGAAACTATGACTCCTTATCCGATTTCTTTCTTGCGCTTAATATCTCCTTTGTTTGAACCAAATATATTCTCCATCTTGAATCCTTTGAAGCATTGATTATATTTTTCTTGGAATATGATCCTTAATGTTCTGCGAGCATATTCGTTTCCTTGGCTCGAACTTGGAACCTTGATCTTGTTCTTGAAATCTTGAACTTGTCAATTCTCTTGGTTTCTATGTTCACGGCTAATTCCTATACTTGATTCCTTGGCCTGAACATTTTCCTTGAATCGATATTGAACTATATTTATTCTCAAAATCTTGTCTTGAATGCTTTCCGAGAATAAATATTTTGTTGGCTCGAACTTGAATCTCATGTTTATTGAATTCATTGAGATCTTGATATACTTGTTCTTGGAACCTGACATGGAACTTATTGTTCTTCTTGAATTCCATATTCACGATAATTCTTTCATTGGCTTGAATTGAAATCTGAACATGTTCATTATCCTGAGACTTGATATTCAATTATCGTGATCGTGACTTATCTTGTGAACGATTGACTTGATTCTTGAATTGATTCTTGAAATGAATGACTTGATATTCCTAAAAGGAATAATATTGATTCTTGAACCTACTGTCCCCACCCTTGAGGACGCTCTTGGGGGAGCTGGGCCCTAGGACCATTTCGGCAAGACGATCGGGCAGTATTGGGCTGACGATGACTGGTCTCCCGAATGGTACCTCCTGATGGTTCGGACTCACGTTCGTTTGGAGTTAAACGTTCCTGAGCCGGATCGGCACGTTCCGGTCGTGCCTCTTGCTTGTTTCCGACCGAGTGGCCACTCGGGACGGAGTGGAGGGATAAGGATGTGATATGATTTTTCTTGTTGGGAGTTACAAGGTTGGAGATCCCACCAAATATTGAACTCAAGCCGTACATGTTACACTCTTGTACATGTTACACTCTTGTACATGTTACACTTCTGTTAATGAAATTCTTGTTAATGAAATTCTTGTAAAGTCTCTCGTTATATGTTCTGTTCTGTTGATTCTCATCATACTCATGGATCATATGTTTTTCACTAAGTCATTCGGACTTATTCGTTTCTCCTTTCTGATATTAATGCGCAGGTAAAAGAAAGACTTAGACCTAAATTTTCATACTAAGAGTTAAAGCTCATGTATGCCTCCGATTAGTCTCGTCGAGAGGTATCTCTATTTATGTTCCGTATAGGAATCCTTTGATCGAGAATTTTGTAATAGAGTAAGTGGTGTCGAAGTCGACTTGTAATAGAATCCCCTTTTGTAAATACGATGGTATAAATATTGGGGTTTAACATTTTGATCATCGAAAATTTGAGGATCATATTTGGGGTCATTGAATGTACTGCTTGTTGAGTGGTGTTCCGCCACGAGGTGTCTGCTACTCGGGGCGGGGCGCTACATTAGGTGTCCATGACGCAAAAATGATCAAACAGTAAGAAAAGAGTTGCAATTAGGAAAATAAAATCAAATTAGAAGAGAGGATCCCTCAACATGTTCGGTATTGTCCACGAAGTCGAGCATAACTTTCTGATCCGGACTCCAAATCGACTGGTTCCGGCGGCATTCGAAAGCTATTTTAGCTGGCTACAATTCCTGTCTAATGTCAAATTTCCAAATTCGGACTCCAACATGGTCAAAATTGGATTCCAAAAGCGATCATGAAAATACGTGCTATAGTTCGAGGACACGAATGCGCAGGAAGAAACGTGCACAAAAACTCTCGCTACAAAATATACGCAGATAAGTAAAAGTACAAAAGCATGCACAAAAGTACTCACGCAAAAGTGCATTCGCAAAAAGGATCAAGAAAACACAAACTACAATCCTAGGACATTAATTAAAATCAACAAACCTGCACAAGCACACTCGCTCAAATGGACATGCACAAACGTACATGTAAAAAAATATGCGCAAGAGTACATTCGCAACAACGTTCTTAAAAACACGAAATTGAACACTAGGACTTTAATATGCATAGCCAAACAATAGCAAAAACACTAAATACAAAACATGCAATGGAGTGTAGAAACAAAACTCAACGTTTACGTTTACGTGGATTTTTTTATGGATTAATTTATATTTTTGTTCTAATTGGTGGATTTAGTATCTTATAGGTACAAATTCATAATTAGGTGTCCATGACGCAAAAATGATCAAACAGTAAGAAAAGAGTTGCAATTAGGAAAATAAAATCAAATTAGAAGAGAGGATCCCTCAACATGTTCGGTAGTGTCCACGAAGTCGAGCATAACTTTGTCATCCGGACTCCAAATCGACTGGTTCCGGCGGCATTAGAAAGCTATTTTAGCTGGCTACAATTCCTGTCTAATGTCAAATTTCCAAATTCGGACTCCAACATGGTCAAAATTGGATTCCAAAAGCGATCATGAAAATACGTGCTATAGTTCGAGGACACGAATGCGCATGAAGAAACGTGCACAAAAACTCTCGCTACAAAATATACGCAGATAAGTAAAAGTACAAAAGCATGCACAAAAGTACTCACGCAAAAGTGCATTCGCAAAAAGGATCAAGAAAACACAAACTCCAATCCTAGGACATTAATTCAAATCAACAAACCTGCACAAACACACTCGCTCAAATGGACATGCACAAACGTACATGTAAAAAAATATGCGCAAGAGTACATTCGCAACAACGTTCTTAAAAACACGAAATTGAACACTAGGACTTTAATACGCATAGCCAAACAATAGCAAAAACACTAAATACAAAACATGCAGTGGAGTGTAGAAACAAAACTCAACGTTTACGTTTACGTGGATTTTTTTATGGATTAATTTATATTTTTGTTCTAATTGGTGGATTTAGTATCTTATAGGTACAAATTCATAATTAGGTGTCCATGACGCAAAAATGATCAAAGAGTAAGAAAAGAGTTGCAATTAGGAAAATAAAATCAAATTAGAAGAGAGGATCCCTCAACATGTTCGGTAGTGTCCACGAAGTCGAGCATAACTTTCTCATCCGGACTCCAAATCGATTGGTTCCGGCGGCATTCGAAAGCCATTTTAGCTGGCTACAATTCCTGTCTAATGTCAAATTTCCAAATTCGGACTCCAACATGGTCAAAATTGGATTCCAAGAGCGATCATGAAAATACGTGCTATAGTTCGAGGACACGAATGCGCATGAAGAAACGTGCACAAAAACTCTCGCTACAAAATATACGCAGATAAGTAAAAGTACAAAAGCATGCACAAAAGTACTCACGCAAAAGTGCATTCGCAAAAAGGATCAAGAAAACACAAACTACAATCCTAGGACATTAATTCAAATCAACAAACCTGCACAAACACACTCGCTCAAATGGACATGCACAAACGTACATGTAAAAAAATATGCGCAAGAGTACATTCGCAACAACGTTCTTAAAAACACGAAATTGAACACTAGGACTTTAATACGCATAGCCAAACAATAGCAAAAACACTAAATACAAATCATGCAGTGGAGTGTAGAAACAAAACTCAACGTTTACGTTTACGTGGATTTTTTTATGGATTAATTTATATTTTGGTTCTAATTGGTGGATTTAGTATCTTATAGGTACAAATTCATAATTAGGTGTCCATGACGCAAAAATGATCAAAGAGTAAGAAAAGAGTTGCAATTAGGAAAATAAAATCAAATTAGAAGAGAGGATCCCTCAACATGTTCGGTAGTGTCCACGAAGTCGAGCATAACTTTCTCATCCGGACTCCAAATCGACTGGTTCCGGCGGCATTCGAAAGCTATTTTAGCTGGCTACAATTCCTGTCTAATGTCAAATTTCCAAATTCGGACTCCAACATGGTCAAAATTGGATTCCAAGAGTGATCATGAAAATACGTGCTATAGTTCGAGGACACGAATGCGCATGAAGAAACGTGCACAAAAACTCTCGCTACAAAAGATACGCAGATAAGTAAAAGTACAAAAGCATGCACACAAGTACTCACGCAAAAGTGCATTTGCAAAAAGGATCAAGAAAACACAAACTCCAATCTTAGGACATAATTCAAATCAACAAACCTGCACAAACACACTCGCTCAAATGGACATGCACAAACGTACATGTAAAAAAATATGCGCAAGAGTACATTCGCAACAACGTTCTTAAAAACACGAAATTGAACACTAGGACTTTAATACGCATAGCCAAACAATAGCAAAAACACTAAATACAAATCATGCAGTGGAGTGTAGAAACAAAACTCAACGTTTACGTTTACGTGGATTTTTTTATGGATTAATTTATATTTTTGTTCTAATTGGTGGATTTAGTATCTTATAGGTACAAATTCATAATTAGGTGTCCATGACGCAAAAATGATCAAACAGTAAGAAAAGAGTTGCAATTAGGAAAATAAAATCAAATTAGAAGAGAGGATCCCTCAACATGTTCGGTAGTGTCCACG